CCTTTGCCCTTCTCCATTTTGGAGGTGGGGGGCACGATTTAAGAGGGTGGGAGAGACCCCCCCACTGCCTGCCCCCTTAGCAAGCCTGCCTCTGCTCTCTCCCCCCCCCCTGGAGGGGGGGCCTAGGAAGGGGGGGGCTAGGAAGGGGAGGGGGGGCAAAAAAAGGGGAGCCCCCCCACTCAACCCCCACCCCAGGCCTTTTGGGTGGGTGGGGGGGATAAAAAGCACCCCCTGGAGGAGGAAAGGGGTCAGTTGGGGGGGTGCAAAGGGGGGGCTAGCCTAATCCCCCCTCCCCATATGGACACCCCTTATCTCCCTATTGGGGAGGGGGGGCTACAGGTCCCCTCTTCAGCCTGGGGGGGGGCAATAGAGAGGGGTCCCTATTTGGGGAGGGGGCTCCAGCTATTATGGGGGGGGTCTATATTAGGTTGTGTTTAACCACTGATTTTTTTTGGGGGGGGTCTTTCCAGGGTCTGCTGGGGCAAAGGAAGGGGGGAGCTGTCCTGCTCCTAAGGGGCGGGGCTTAGGGGCTGGGGGCTCCCTGGGGGCGGGGCTTCCGCCCCAGGAGGCGGGGCTTGAGCGGCGAGGCTCAGGGAGAGCCTCTCTGGGGAGGCGCTGCTCCCCTTTTTCGGGGGGGGGGGGTGGAAAGGGGGGGGGGGGGGGGGGGGGGGGGCTCTACGCCGGGGGGGGGGGCAGGAGGGAGGGGGGAGCGTGCGCCGCTTCGCCCCCCACCCAGCGGCACAAGACCGGAAGTCGGAGCTGGGGGACGAGCGAGTGTGTGAGGGAGCGGGCGAAGGAAACAGCCCGGCCGGAAGTTGCCCGCCTTTCCTCCTCCCCCCCCCCACCGTCACGCGCCCACCTCCTCGCCCTCCTTTCGACCTATCGCCGCTCGAGGACGGCGGTGAGTGACAGGCGACCTCCTGGCGGGCCAATGAGGGAGAAGAGGGGCGGGGGGGAGAAAAAGGGGAGGGATCTCAAATTCCACTCCGAGAAGGACGTAGACTTAGGAAACGTGAAGAGGAGCAACCTTCCTTATCGGAAGCTCGTTGCCGGGTTCCTTTACACCTTGTTAAAACTTTTAGAATCAAGATTTAATCCTTAGACCCCACTTTATATCCCAAATATATCACTGCCTTGCAGGTTGACAGGCGGCCATCCACAGAGGAAGATAATATAGTGGCGACACCAATAGTGAAACCCATCCCTAAGCTAGTCTACAAACATGCATGGGGTGTATCTTCATATTTCGTAGCTCTATGGAACTCCTCCGCTTCCCTCCCCCCCACGCATGCGCCTTAGGCTCCATCTTTCTCGCTTTTCTCCCCTTTTTGCTGTCGCCTCCGCCTGCACTCCAGAGCTCGGCCTCCCCGACGCCGCGCATGCGCCGTCCCGTCCTTTGTGGGCCACCTGTTATTCCGCCATAAGAACCCCACTTTCGAATTGCCCTGCTTTCTGATCAAGGGCTGAACTTCTGCCACCCACTTCTTCCCCCTGTGCTGGTTAGAGGGAACCGTCCGTTTAGGAATTAAAGAGCTGTTTCCCCCTTAAAGGGATGGCATTGTGGGAAATGTAGTTTCTGTGTCACGTGGTACCACCTGTGCTTCCGATTGGTCCCTGGGCCAGGCTTCTGATTGGCTGAGACCAGCGGGGGTTTTTAATGAATGAATTGCAACGCTCCCGCGTGGGAAGAAGCTGCCTCCTTTGTGAATGGGGACCGAAGAACGAAACACACAGATTTAAGATACTTAAATGTGAGACAATGTGTGCAAAGTGAGATGATTAAACTGGAATACTGTATGTCAGAAAACAATATAGCAGATCATTTTACAAAGGCCCAAGGCTCTATAAAGCATAAGGCGAGCTGTGAAGATTATGGACTTAGAATGTAAGGTTGTATATATTGTCTTACCCCAAAGGGGAGAGAATGTTAGGAATATAAGTCACCTAACAGGTATTTGGGTTAGAAATATATAAACCAGGATAAACATTTTAGCACTATGTCTTTAAGAGATTGCAAAAACTGCAATTGGGTGTGGTTTTTCAAACAGTCATAAGATGGAGCCAGAAACCTGGATTGTCTTAGTCTTAGTCTTAGTCTCAGAAGAGAGCGTGAGTGTATCTCTGTTTCCTTCTGTTGGAAAATATTGCCATTGCTCCATTTCTTCTAATTGACTGATATTACTGGATTTAATGTAAGTCTGATGCTGAACTGTTTTTGACACCGGGATTTGATATTTGGATTATCCCTGGATTGAAAACTGACTGATTTTACCTGTGAATGACTTTGGATTGCTTATTTTGGACTTTGCTTAAACCTTTCTGGAAGTAAAAACCTACATTTACTGTACAGTGTATCTGTGTGCTGTGTTTGTGTATTATTCAAACACTTCTCTCAAATACGTCTCCCTGTATGCGCTCATTCTCCTAACGGGGAATTACCTCAACAGCAACCAGGCCAAGAACACTTCACGCTTTCGACAAGCAATCCTGTTTTAGGAGCGACAGTGTTCCAGCCCGTTTTTGCTCCCAGGAGGCAAAAAACAGAGCATTGGGGGGGGGGAGAGAACATACACAAACCACCCCCCTTCCACGTACCCTTTTTTGCCTCCTGGGCCTTGGAAGCAGCCTGGGCGAAGCAGTAAAACAGGGAGGGGAATCCTGGAACAGCTGATCGTTGGAACAGCTGATTGTTGGGAGAAAAAGAAAGAAAGAAATCCACAATAAGGCTGGTTTTGGGTGAAAAATATATGAAATTCCTGGGGGGAAAAAACAATTTCAAAATATTTCCAGAAGGGGTTTACTATGCCCTTTTAATTCCGGCCAAAACAAAGTATCTCGTGACGATTTGAAGGCTCACAAAATTATGATGCCTTCAAAGAACATTGTCAGAATGTTCTTTGAAATGGTCAGGAGACAATTATTACTTAAAAATTGCAGCCACAAATATCTATCCTAGCTTTTTATTTTTGTTTGTCTTTTCAGCGTCCAAAAATACTGCAGTTTCCATACACCAGGGAAATAAATCTTCTCGAAGGGACTAAAGTAATGCAATTGAGAGGAAATGAAATCCAAAAGATCATTTAATTATCCCTTTTCCTCAGATGCAGAACGGCATCCTCCTTTAAAAAAACAACAACAACAGGACATTGGAAATGTATTTTGAAAAAAAGCAAATGACATTTTCCCCTCTCTTTTTTTTTCAAGCTGCATTCGGGTGAACTCACCTCGCTTTTCTTCCAGCGCTCAGATCCTAACATGATTTGATTTTGCACTCTTTGTTGTTCATAGCCAAATTAAGTTTTAAATTAAGACAAATTCCTTGTGTGTTCCAATCACACTTGGCCAATAAAGAATTCTGTTTCAAGTGTGTGAGATGGTGGATTTGGGACTTCCAGATTTGTCGTATTTTTGAAATGAACAGAATAACGGAGTTGGAAGGGGGACCTCCGAGGTCTTCTAGTCTAACCCACTGCTTAAAGCAGGAGGCCCTATCCCAAACTCTGCTTAAAAGCCACCAGTGATGAAGCAGCCACAACTTCTGGAGGCCGTTCCACTGATGATTTGTTCTCACTGTTAGGATGATATGTTGGGTTTAAAGGAGAGAAAGAATTAACCAGTCAGGGGAATTAGGTGCATCACACCGAGGAGGGATATTTTTTTAGGAAGCCCAGAAGGCACTGCCGTGAAATGGGAGGGAGGGAAAGATGGACACGCAAAGCTGTGAATGTTAGAAAACAACATCCAACACACAGGTAGTCCTCCACTTATAACCACAGTGGAGCTCCAAATTTCTGGTGCCTAAGCGAGACATTTGGTTTCAGACATTTTGTTAAAACGACATTTTAACGACCTGTCTTGCCATGCGGTCATTAACGCGAATTCAGATTTTCCCCGTCAGAAGGTCGCAAAAGGGGATTTACCCCCGGGGACGATGCGACTGTCGTAAATACGAATCAGCTCCAAAAATGTCCGAATTTGGATCGCGTGGCCATGGGGGAATGCTGCAATGGACGTAAGCATGAAAAAAAAAAACGGTCTCAAGTCCCTTTTTTCAGTGCCGTGGTAACTTTGGTCACTAAACGAACTGCCGTACGTCAAGGACTACCTGTATATGTTGTAATTTACAGTCCCCTGTGACCCTGTTTTCCCCCCTCCCCGCTGGATGTGTCATAAATCAGATTCTCCAATTAAATATATTCCTGGGCAAAAGCTCTGGTAGTTTAGTTGCAACCTTTTAAAGAGAAGAGTTGGACTTTCACTTTCCAACTGCTGCACCGCCCTTCCAGATTTCCTCCCCCCACCCCCTTTTTTATGGCAACTACTAAAACGGGCCTAGGAATGTTTTGTGAGTTGACAGTAGACACGTTTTCCCACCCTCCCTTCTTTGAAATCTACCGTCCGCCATTTTAGTTCCTCCAATTCAAACCGGTTCGGTTTGGCAAAGCAGCAACCGGGACTTCGGAGCATGTGCAGAGTGCCGCACCCCTCCGCCACGAAGGCTCAATGAGATGCGGGGGGGCTTTCAAAGCTTCACATACAAGAACAAGACCCTCTGTGACCTTGGAACTTCACGTCAACCAAAAACAAACCTATACATTCTGTTTATTGTAAAATCTGCAGCTCCCGGGAAGCCGCAGGATTGTGTGTGTGCGACCATCACAAGAGTTGTGTACAGTCCAGGCCTCCCCTTGTGACAGCCAGCTCGACCACAGAAAGTTCCAAATTCTCCAACGTCCCCAGAAAAGATGAGGAGGTGGCCCGTAAAAGTGACGGAGCATAAGCCAGCTTCTCCAGAACGTCCCATCATGCAGGTAGAGTAGAAGGCCTCTTCCGGGTCATCCTCTCCTGATCTACCCAACCTTAGGACCTGGGGTGGTGGAGAAGTGAAAGGAAACGGGGGCAGGGGAGCAAGGATAGTCCCCTAAGGTCCATCCGTGGTGCCCTCAACTCAAAGCCAATGGGTTCTTTGAAGACGGTCTCGGGTGCCTCAGCTAAGAAGGTGGATCTCCTTGAAGGAAAGTGTCTTCTCCATCTTCTCATCATCCTCGGGTACTGCTGACCCGTTCGCCCATCAACCAGTATGTCCGGAGTTTCCCCTTGCCCTGTGATGAAGGAATGAAGGTCTATCGGAGTCCAGGGTGCCTCCAGAGCCATCAGCCACCCAGTGACTCAAGAACCCAGATGCAGGGGAGGACCTTCAACCCAACACAACTGTCCTCCTCACCTTCATCTCTATGTCTCCTCGGAGGTCCAGTTCGAAGCACCCAAACTCTTCAAGGATGGTTTTGGTGGCCGCCGATAAGTGGATCTTCAATGCTGGAATGACCAGAGGAAGTTGCATTAGAGAACATCTGTACAGAACATCTGGATTAGAAGGACTGAACCGGAGAAAGGGAGCAGAGATGGAGACTAGGAGGCCATCCCAACAAGATGTGAGAAGTTGAAGTCCTGAAGTTGAAGTTGAAGTCTTGTGCTACATGGATGCAACCATGAAGGAGGTGGCCTCAACTGGTTCTTCTCGAGATGTTCTCGCTTCACATTGTAGAAGTACCTTGCTTCAACAGGCTCAACCAAGTAGCCTTGAAGTCTTCTCCTAGGTCAGTTATTCTACCATCTCCTTAACTACCTACAAGCATCCAGCTGGTGTGGGACAGTCCAAACATCTGTACCTCACACCTGCCTTCTTCTCCCAAACCACTTACCTTCACCGTTGGACTCCATGCGCGAAGCTGTGTTGACCGTGTCTCCAAAGAGACAATAACGAGGCATCTTCAAGCCTACGACTCCTGCGCAGACGGGACCTTGAGGGAGAAAATGCGATGGGTCAGCAGGGACAATCAAACCCTGATTGGTGGCTCTTTCTCCTTTTCTCCTCCCTTCCCCGAGAATCCTAGAACGTGTTTTGGAGAAACCCCCATTCCAAGTCACATCCCCAAGGTCTCCTTTGCCAGTGGAGGAGAAATCACAACACACAAACCATGGTTCCCGGCCATTTCATGGTCCACCTGCATGGTTTGTCAAAGCTCACCCACATTTGGACCCCGCAAGGAACCGGGTTAACATCCTGGCCGTGTAAATCAGATCTACTGACTTCTGAAGCGCCATAATTGCACCATCTACCTTCCGGTCTCTTACACACTCCTTTGCACACCCACCCCTGTGTTTGTGACACACGCTCAGAGGACCTCCTCACCGCTATGGATGCCAATCCGCAGCTTGAGCTGCTGCTCAGGCCGGTGGTGTATTTTGAAGTTGCGCACGGCTTCCAGGAGTGCCAGGGACATGCGGGAAATCTCGCGGGCGTGCAACCGGCCGTTGCGAACGGGTAACCCTGACACCACCATGTACGCGTCTCCGATTGTCTCCACCTTGACGAAGACCAAAGAGCAACAGTTCTTAGCCTTGGGGGGGTCTTTAAGGTTTGTGGACTTCAACGCCCAGAATTCTAGAGTTGTGGGAGTTGAACTCCGCAGTTGGACCTGGGGAATTCTGGGGAGTTGAACTCCACACTTCTTAAAGATGTTCATAACAGGGCCAAAAGGAATATTATTATTATTATTTTTAAGTTCTTATATTTATTGGTGAGTACATCAACCAGAAGGTATGATGACCATCAACCATCAATAGAAAAGACAGATGGACACACAGACATGATGGATGGATGGAGAGAGAGAGAGATGAGGAAGAGAGGGAGATGATAGAAGGAAGGAGATAATAGATAAGATAGACAGGATGGATGGAGATTG